AGAATAATATAAGTTCAAGTACAATCTTACTACAAAGAAATTGATAAATGTAGATACGGAGTTTATGACACAATTATTAAATTTTTTTAATTAACTAATCTATTAAATTTGGTAAAGGTCTAGATGATGGCCCCCGTCCCCTTCGGCGGTGGCGATGGGGGGATCGAAGGGGGAGGTGTCCCCCACCACTGTGCCACTCCCACAAAGTGTTATAGGGGTTCAAATTTTATTGGGAAGTTAGCTAAATGTTTCGCACCTATCCGCGCCTCTCTTTTGAGGTATGGTTACTACTACGTTCCGTTTTTATAATCCTCTGGGACTTTACCCGTCTCGTAAATGTGACTAACTAGCTTAAACCTCTCGTCTTGTATGTTTTACAATTTCCCCCTGTATCCCATCTTCACCTGGCACCTTATTATTCTTTAAATTTTTCAAACTCCTCTCTCATTATGGGATAACCCAGCTCATATACCTTCACACTATCTTCCTATCTCCTAACTCATGCCCTGCATATAGGTTCCCTAAATATTCTTCCCACCTATCTGTCTTATCCTCATTTTCTATCAAAAATCAATTTTTAGATATTTATTAGTATCAATTATTATTTTATAAAGCTGACTGGCTATTAATTAAACAAAAAATCATGAAATTTACGTGCTTCCTATCGAAGGGAAAACTGTAAAATGAATAGAATGTTATTCAAATTGGAATTAAGGGCTAAAAATTTGAGAAATTTTTTTAGACAGTACTCAGTACCCCGTGGTTTCGTAACGGAAATGAAAATACAAATATGTTTACAAAATACATGAATGTTTTTATATGTGTAAGAGTTTTCCGTTGGACTCATTCCAAATTTCGTTAAACCACTTCTTGTTTAACCGGAAATACACAAGTACCAAGTAATATAAATATGGTACCGACTATTTTTTAATACGGAAATAAAATTTACTAACAAAATTAGTGAAATATCCTTAACTTGAACCTGTTCGAGCAAGAGAAAATTCAAATTTAGCAAGATTGCTTGTTTTTATAAGGGACTTAATACGTTAACTTAATATTAACACATAAAAGTATAGGTCGCAGAATTATCGAACTAATGTATCATCATCTTAAGGTCGTCGGGAACGGCATTTTTTCTTCTAGAGAAAAGGAATATATAGTTAAGTTTAAACGTCGAGATATTAACTTTTTAAAAAGTATTTATTGAAAAAAACACAAAAAGAATACAATCAAAGATAATAGCGACGTTGACAATTACGACCTCACTAGTACTATGACTAATATGAAGTGAAGCTTTAAAAAAATGAACAGTTTAAATAGTAAAATAGATCAGTTAGAAATAATTAAAAAGTATTAAAAAGTTATAAAGTTTTCCCTGGAGCTTAGAATGATGTGTGTACAAAATTTCATGATGATCGTGTCAGGGCTTCCGACACCAGGCAGCCTTTTTTTATATATGTGCTTGCCGATACAATAAACAAGTTGAAAATAAGAAAAGGGGCGAGCGAAGTAAATTTAAACTAATTTATTTGTCCCTTACGTTGGTACAGTGATAGTTGTACAAAAACAATGATAAAAACTAGTTCCGATTAAGTGAAGGTCTAAACTGCAACTAACTGACTTCAGTATATTTTTAACATACAACTGTTTTTACCCCCAAGATGCTTTTAGACATTTTATACGTACTGTAATGTTCGTGGGTTTAACAAATTAAATTTTAAGAAGAAAACTATTTATTTATACTAATTACTATTAAACTTAAAAACACTATTAAATTATTACTAAACTTAGGTAATTATTCTATTTATTTACACTACTGTTACTATTCACTGTTCTATTTATTTCACTTCTATCACTGTCAATTTATCTCTTGATTCACTTCTGCAACGGTCAATTTATTTCTACTCTCCTTCGGCGATCGTCTCTTCTTTTTTATACTCCCTTGCCTCTCTTCGGGAACATTCTCCAGCCGTCCAGAGAAGTCTCGTTTTCTTTGAACGGTTTAATTGCTTTCCCGGAACGCAGGTACGACACACGTCTACAGATACGGCGCACATGAATAAAAGCGCCCGCGGCTAGTCGGCGAATCGATAAGCCGCTCACACACACGTATGCCCGATCGCACACAATCACACTCGTGGTCGCTACAATACGGTTTTCGTTGAGGCATAGAAAAAAAAAGGCTGAGATGGGAAACTGCAATAAGTCTTATCAATAATGAATTTTGAAACTGAAGTGGATATGTAAAAGAATCTTGGGACTTAAGTTATTCAAAAAGAAAACCTTGTTTTTAAAAATTTGTTATAGACAACAGATGTATTGCTTGACTGCCTTCTTTTCTAAAATTTGGTTATTTTATATAATAAAGTAATCTGTTAACAATAAAGATATTTAGAATTTTATCAACATTGAGAACAAACCTGACTATTTATCGGAATTGAAAAGAAACTATATCTAATATGCATAAACAGAACAATCATAATGATATATATTATCCTATCTCTAAGATAACATGATACGCATTTATCAAATATATAACTTGGGTTTTCTCACAAACGACAAACAAGAGGTTTTAATTGCACAGTTGATAGTAACAATCGAACAGCAATAGGATGAAATATGAGAAAAGGGATGATTTTAAACACAAAAAAATGAAAAAAAAAAAAAATGAATACAAGTTACAAGAAATAGGATATACGTTTAGGATAAGTATTATTATTTGAAAGGAAGTTATTGAAAAGTGCACTTTTGATATTAGATAATTAAGTTTGGTACTAAACAATATGGACCAAGTAAAAATGTGAGAGGTATCTAACAATAGATTGAGTAGTTAAGGCGTGAAATCGATTACATAAAACCAATTTGGGTGGGATCGAAAGAGGTTGATCTCCCCTACCGCTGTACCATAAACAGTTCGTGGCAGTCTCACCCCCATAAAAAGTTATGGGGGTTAGATGGGGGTGGGGGTAGGGGGCATCGGAAGAGGGTGGTCACCTGAGTAAAACCCCATAAAAAATTTGCGGCGGTCTCACCCCCATAAAGTTGATTATTTTGTCAATTTTTATACATTATAATTCAATTAAAATTCAATAAAAAAATATTTTCAAGCGGGTGGAGGTGGGGTATCGAAAGAGGGTGGTCACTTAAATAAAACCCGATAACCTAACCTGCCCTATTGATAAAGATATTTAAATAATGTTTTATATAACTTTCTCAATATTTTTATGTATTTTTCATTAGTTTTGCGAACAGCATTTTTTCTTCTAGAGAAAAGGGACCCTATGTCCTTTTCTGTACCCCTGGTAACGTGTACGAAATTTTATGATCGATTGAGTAGTTTAGGTGGGAATTGGACCGCATAAAACCAATTTTTTCTATCCGTCAGGTACATAATTTTTTGTGGTTATAAAGTACCCTATGTCCTTTTTTGTACCCCTAACAATATGTGTACAAAATTTCTTGATGATCGGTTGAATAGTTAAGACGTGAAAATCCGACAAACAAGCAAATTCACGTTCGCATTTATAATAATGTAGCGAGCACGAGTGTGTTTGTGTGCCATCGGCTATGCGTGGTCGTGAACAGCTTATCGATTCGCCGACTAGCCGCGGGCGCCTTTCTTCAGGTGCGCCGTATTTGTAAATGTGTGTGTCGTACCTGCGTTCTGGGAAAGCAGTTAAATAGTTCAAAGAAAAAATAAACTATCCGGATGTTTCCAGAAGGGTCCCGAAAGTAAACAGAAGATTATTTAAAGGAAGAGACTATCGCCGAGAGAAGTCGAAATAAATTGACCGTTGCAGAAGTGAATCCAGAAATACATTGACAGTGATAGCAGGCAGGGAAATAAATAGCGCAGTGAATAGTGATATATTAACAGTAGTGAAAATAAATAAATAGAATAATTTATCACCTAAGTTTAGTAATAATTTAATAGTGTTTTTAAGTTTTTTAATAATAAGTGTAAATAAAGTAGTTTTTTGTCGTTATCAGTCTTAGAAGTTAATTTTGTTAAACCCAAGAACATTACAATATTGTTCCTGATATTCGCTTTGTTTTCAAAAGAAGACAAAGCATGATTGATATAATCTAATCTTTAACTCTTGCGGGAGCCTATTTGGAATATATNTAATGAGAGAAGAACACATTTGCATTTCAGATTTTACTGTTTTTCAAGTTCATGCGTATAAATAAACATGATGATAGGAAACTAAGTATCTGCAAGTGCAAGATAACAATGCGAAAAAAGTTGACTTTCCAGTTACAATTTATAATATGCATACATGAATAAGTTTTGATAAAATTGTATTTCTGCTAAATTGATTAAAACATAAGCTTTATTAGGGGGATTCATTAATCTGTGCGATAACAAATGTCTATGTCTTTGTGATAAAATACGTATACAAATATTTTAAATTTACACATTATTTAAAGTGAAACAGTTTGAAAACGGCTATTTGGAAAACGTTTGATAAAAAAAAATCAGAAATCGATAATTTATTCAAAAAATAATGATTTTTTTAAAAGGCAGCTAAGTTTCTTTTGGATTATTATAATAAACAATAAATAACTTCATATTCTAAAATTAATCAAAATAATAAAATAAGAGGGTAAAAAAGTATGGTTCGGCTCCCGGAGAGGTATTGATGGCAGCAGCAGTTTTTCGTCATTAATTACAGGTTATCTGCAGTGGGTAAAACTAACTCAAAAATCAATTCAGTAAAGCATTGAATTTTTTGACCTTACAAAAATTCAAAGTGTTTAAAAAAAATCAGGCTAGTTGAAAAAAAAAATTCCAATTTTAATGACAAGATAATTCATCATTAATTAATTAATTATCCTAACTTAACTTAACCATCTTAATACCTCTGACCGTCAGGGTTGCTGTGTAATAATATATTCTGAATTAAAAAAAAATAAAAATTATTTATGTGCATTAAGAAACTTTGGAAATGTGTTCCTATTTATTGTTTATTAATAATTGTTTTTGTTTTTTTTCTTAGATAAAGGGCCATACCTAGAACTAATTGTTCAACCTTCTACAAAATTTCGGTACCGATATGAGTCAGAAGGTGCTACGATCCACCGCCTTCTACATTCACAAAATGGCGCTAAATCGTATCCAACAGTGAAGGTAAATCCATTATTACTTCTACAACTATATCAATATATTTAATACGTTAATTGCGTTTTTCGAATCCTACTCCTTTCAAGTTGGCATGGCAAAATTGACAGGCAGTAATATAAACCGTCGAATAAAGCCAAAAATTAGCCGCCACCCGGGAAACATCCGAAAACTAGTTTGTATGCTAACTTCGTTTTGTTGCAAAATACGTTAGAAAAATTCTAGACAGATAGAACCGGTGTCATAGTTAGCCGCTAATTAACCGCTTACACTACATTATTAACCACCAGGGGGTTGCAATTTTTTTCGAAGTAGGGGAATTTTCAAGTGAAACAAAACACTTTTGGGTGTTTCATTCGGACGGGGAGTCTCTCTTCAGTCTCCTTTCAGTAAGCGTGGGAATGGGTAGGTGGTGGTTCGAGTGAGAAAGATGAGACGAACGAAATGAAGACGGAAGACAATGAAATATTATCATCTGTGGAATATTACTGCCCCAAGCATTTGCCTAAGTGATTCAAAGAAACCACAGAAAAACTTGGACCAAGGCAGACGACGGGCTCGGAATCGAACCGGCTAAGCAGTGGTCTAAACCTTTAGGCCATGTCGCTCGGTACGTCAAGTGAAATTATATAGGGTTGTTCGGAAAGTCATTTCTTTTTTTTTGTGGAAATGAAAGACAGTTTTCGTATAACAAACAAATACTTTATTAAATTATATATTGACCGTTCTGGTCCAACACCTTTTGCCATCTTTCTGGTAGTAGCATAATTCCACGCTCATAAAATTTTTGGTCTTTGCTGGCAAAAAACTGATCGAGGAGGTTTTTGACCTCCTCATTTGAGGTGAAGGTTTTACCGTCTAAAAAATTTTGGAGTGACCGGAACAAATAATAATCCGATGGTGCCAGGTCTGGAGAATATGGTGGGTGTAGCATTGTATCCCATTCAAGCTGTAAAAGCTTTTGGCGAGTGACCAAACTTGTGTGAGGTCTCGCGTTGTCTTGGTGAAACACTACACCTTTCCTGTTGATTAGTTCTGACCTTTTCTGTTGAAGTGCATCATTCAGTTTGTCCAGCTGATGACAGTAGACTTCCGAATTAATCGTTGTGTTATCCGGTAAAAGCTAAAAAAAAACGATTCCTTTAAAATCCCACCAAACAGACAGCATCACCTTTTTTTGGTGAATATCGGCTTTGGAAATGGTTTGAGCCGGTTCATCTTTTTTGCTCCATGACCTCTTGCGTTTGACGTTGTTGTATACAACCCATTTTTCGTCCCCAGTGATGATGCGCTTCAAAAACGGATCATTTTCGTGACGTTTGAGAAGCGAATCGCAGACGTCAATGCGGCGACACAGATTTCTCTCTGTGAGAACATGGGGAACCCATACATCGAGCTTCGAGGATAATCCCAGGCCTTTCAAGTGGTCATAAACTGTTGAATTTGATAAATTTAACCTCAATCCGATCTCACGTGTTGTTATTCGCCGGTTCACATCAACTAATGCCTTTATCGCGTCTTTATCAGCTTCAACCGGCCTTCCCGAACGTGGTGCATCTTCGACATCAAAATTGCCGGATCGAAATTTAGCGAACCAGTTCTGGCACTGGCGTACTGTCAACACACCTTCTCCATACACATCAGTCAATTTCTTTCTGGCTTGAACAGCATTTTTACCCTTTCTGTAGTAAAACAGTAAGATATGTCGAAAATGCTGCTTATCGCTCTCCATATTTAAAAGGGCACCAACCAAAAACTACTGCGTAGAATTAATTGGAATTTTTCACACACAAGCCTTGCTATATGAGCTCTCAAAGCATATAAAAATTATACGGCTTAAATGTGAAATTGGGTGCAAAAAAATACAATTAAATCTTCTGTCGGGAAAAAACGAAATGACTTTCCGAACAACCCGATAGTAGGTACATATTGCAAATCGGATTTTTATTGCGCTGTGAATATTTCGCAAATTACTCGTTTAAAACGAAAACATCAAATGGGGTATGCAAAAAAATGGTAAAATTAGTTAGGAAAGAACTTAAGTGAGATAATAATAGGGGTTCTCGTGTCGGCGCTAATTTTCGGCTTTCACAGCTAATTTGTAAAGTATTTATCAGTAAGTTTCATAACCTATTGAGAGTGCTACGAAATTTTTAAATATACCATTATGTTTATGCCAAATTTTTAGAAGAACGAGATGAATCGGTCTCTGACTTCCTATGTACCGCGAAAAACTGTAAGATATGAACTTCAGTGATATGTTGTTGGTCTCTCAAGACTTATATTAAACTATGACTTAGAATTAGTTCCACCTGTTACAATAAGTAAGGGGAAGTGTAGTATTAAAAGGAGAGGCGTACTTCGTTTACTTTCTGTAGCGATGTGACCTTCAGTTTGACCGGCGCAAGGTAGAAAGGAACAGTACTAGGCCAGAAAAGGAAGGAGACAACTCTCGGCCAAACTCTTAACCGTTGAGGAGCGTATAATCCGTACAGTACTGCACGGAAAAATTGACCATTTTATCCACTACAATTTCATTGCCCAAATGTGCTGTTATTGGTACCATTTACTACTGAAAATATCAAGGAGATGTTTATTTATATTTGAAGACATATTAATGGCTTCAACGCTTGTTTTCGACTCGCACTACTATTCATGATTGAACAAAACCTTTGGCTGGTACTGTATGAAAAAGTATGTTTAATGAACAAGGGTCGAGAGTATAATGAGCTTTTTTTCTCCCTACCAACGATTTTGCCAGCGCGCATCCAAGACATTGGAAGAGGCTCATCGTTACAGAAAGTAAATGAAGTATAAAAAATGAGTTGTCATGGGAAGTAAATGGTCCTAATGACTATAGATGTGGGAATAATGTTCAGTGCGAATTTAGGATACTGTAACAGAGCTTATTCAAAGGGGTTTGATTAAAGAAATTTTCAAAGGGTTCATTTGGCACAAACATTAAATAAAATCCCCATTTGCCTAAGCTGACTCACTCTAGATTCCCTGTGTCTAGGGAAATATCTCTAGGTGTGGTAACGATAGCGAAAAATCGAACGTGTTAGTTGCACGAACTAATTAATGTCCATGTTTGTGTTACATTGGAAAAAAATGTTGAACATTTATTACAGCTGTTCAATTACGGTAAACCAGCGTTTATAAGGTGTTTGGCGTGTAGGACAGAAGATGAACAGTATAAAATACACTGTCATTCCTTCAAGATGAAAAATGTCGATGATATACGCGACCCAGTTTATCTATCTGCCACTGAAGAGAATAACTTCACTGTCTCGTAAGTGGGGTTGTGTTTTTCTTTTGAAGTGAAACTTCTTTACACACGGTAGGGTAAGTTCGTTTCGCATTTCCCCCGCTGTCTGTTCCTATGTATGCTTAGATCTTTAAAAGTACGCAACGGATTTTAATGCGTTTTTTTTTTAATAGATAGAGCAATTCAAGAGGAAGTTTTATATGTATAATACATGCATGATATAGTAGAGAAACACTGATAATTTTAGAGGTTTGCAATGTGATGGCGTAAATAAACACATTTTTTTGCGCTTACATTGCAAACGCTGGCTGAACCCTACGAGATAGATCAAAATAATATACATATTACAGTATTGTACACCTTAAAAACAAAAAAGTCCGGGATGGTATATGTCTTTCTCTTAGAGATAACCTACAATAACCATTTTTTATCCTTTACTTTTTACGAGAAATAATGGCTTATTTACGATGCGATTTTAAGCAATACAGCATTAATCCTTATCCAATTAAGTACTTTTAAATACATTGTGCATTTAATATAGATCAGTATGGCCCTTTACAGCCTATAATTTAAATGAATATTTTCGAATATATTACAGACTTAAAATGCATGGACATAGCGGTTGCGGGGGTACCGGCAGGTTTGTATTGTCTAATGACAAAAAAGCTGTGTTTGTTGTATATAAAGACATTCTATAGTATATTTACTATGAGCATTGCACCCGTGCGAAGCATAGTGTACAAATAATACCATTAAACCAATTCCTTAACCCCTATCCCGGTATGTTTGTGTGTTTGAAGAAGTTTCACTTCAGTAGCGTGTTGTATAATTACACGTATTTTTTTTTGTTTCCTAATTTAATGCCTAATTCGATTATTTGTTAATCAGATTCCAAGGTAGTCTAATTTTTACTAAAAAACGCGATGCCAACGAAACATTAAATAAAAAACTCCAGAGGATTAGAGCAATCCATAGAAATGGCCACGACCTTTCGACTTTTGAGGTGAGTACCTTAAGAAGTATAGTACCTACCGTCATTACACTCCCAACCAAAATTAACATTATAGTAATCAAAATTTACTATTGACATAATGAAAAAGTTTTAAGTTTTGACTGTAATTGTTGAAATAATGTTGAAATAACAGCAAATCCATGCTATGGTGTAGGGAAAACCAGTTGATAGAGTCTGGATGAGTTAAAAACACTAACGTTTATCATATGGGTGAACAGAATCCAGTACTACTGTTTATCATGCATGGAACTTCTGTAGTAGATAATACATCGATCTCAAAGATCTATACCGCCCATAGATACATTATGGGAACTAAAAAGCCTTGGTTGTGGTACTAATATGATTTGTTTTTTCTTTTCATTTCACTTGTTATATTAGTTCGATACCATCATAATTAGTACCAATTATAACGACACTATTGTTATTCCACCTAACAGAAAGTGGAGAGTTTAGTTCTTTGTAGTGGTAATCAAAATTTTCTTCATTTCACCAGACGAAAAAATCGGGCCTTTCTTGGTGCGAGCAATGTAGTCCCAGTCTTGGTATTGGGCTTACAATTAGTCTTGCTTACTCAGTTGTGGTCTTGCTCAAATATTTTTAGTCTTGGTGTTGGTCTTGCTGATATAGTCTCGGTCTTAATCTTGGTCTTGTGTGCTATGTCTTATTGTCTTTTTAATTTACCGACACAATAATTGTTTTAAATGCTGGCCTTTTCTGTCATACATGCGAGTTCGTTATGACTTAAAGAAAATAGTGTCAATTATAAAAACTCTTGAACTTGCCCTTCCATCAATGCATTGATTGACCTTTTAGCGAGAAAAATAGCACAAGGTATTTAAAAATTTAAAAAAAAATTGTTTATGTCTATATTTTAACCATATTGTAATGTTCGTGGGTTTAACAAAATTAACTTCTAAGACTGATAACGACAAAAACTATTTATTTACACTAATTATTAAAGAACTTAAGAACACTATTAAATTATTACTAAACTTAGGTTGTAAATTATTCTATTTATTTACACTACTGTTGATATATCACTATTCACTGCGCTATTTATTTCACTTTATTTCTCGATTCACTTCTGCAACGGTCAATTTATTTCTTCCCTCTCGGCGATCGTCTCTTCCTTTAAATACTCTTTTGTTTACTTTCGGGAACCTTCTAGAAACATCCGGATCGTTTATTGAACTGTTTAATTGCTTTCCCAAAACGCAGGTACGAAACACACATTTACGCTAGTCGGCGAATCGATAAGCCGTTCACGCACACGTGTGCCCGATCGCACACAAACACACTCGTGCTCGCTACAATATGTTATCCAAACTAGGAACAAAAAACACCTAACTCATCCTAAGACATTCCTGTAGATCCCATTTTTGAAACTGTAGTATTTTTTTTTGTGGTTAGTGCTGAAATCAAATACTAAAAATGTTTAGTTCCAAGAAAAGAATATATTAATGTTTCCTCAGATAGTTTAAGTTATAAATCCACCGAAAGTAATAATTTTTTGTTTGTTCTTGCGTATTTGGTATTGGTCTTGCATATTCGGTCTTGGTTTTAGTCTTGGTCTTGTTAGTTTCAGTGTTGGTCTTAGTCTTTCTAGTGTATATTTGCTTTATATTTATTAACAATTTTTGATAGTGGTATCTGGTATTCTTCATCGCTATCATCTTCCATTGTTTCGTAGTTCAGTTTCTCCTGGAATATCATAAGAAAAATGGGAAATGTATTCATGAAACTCATCTTCATTTTTAGTTTGGCAATCCGATTCTGGTGGAATAATTACTACTACATCGAAGTCTCAATTTGAGCTATAAGTAGGTAAAGTTGTAAGAACAACAAATAAAAGGTAGTGAACAAGAAAGTACACAGAAGTCAAAGCGTTCTGTTGCAACCTTCAGACACGCATCCCGATTTCGATCCTATTAGATCTTATCAGTGCGTTGTAGTTTCGATAGAATACTCGATCTCATTTATTCAAAGGTAATAAAAATCGACAAACTGAGTGTCATTTTCATCTAGTAATCACCCAATCAAAGAACTATTCCGTAGTATAATTGAACTGCATAAGTAAAACGATTATTTTAAATATTATTATTTTTAGGAAGTCAGTTTTCAAATTGACGATTTTAAAAACATAAATATTAACAAAGTCGTGCTAAGATTCGACGCCTATGAATATTTGAATGGACAAATGATTCAAATTTGCAAACCCGTGTACAGCCAGCCCATACTTAATCAAAGTGAGTTAAATATTTATCGCATTTTTTTAGTTATTAATTATAGAGATTATTATTAATTTATATTCTGTGATTCAGGAAAAGTATTACACTTTTTCCCCGTGCTTTTTTTTATTCGATGCTAAATTTATAGTGAATTAATTATATTACCAATAAAAGGTTACATATCGACTAATTAGAGCCCGCTGTATAAAAAGGAAATAATAGTCAACCGCCAGCAACCGTCATGTGTATATATATGCTTGATAGGAAACAAAAACCTTTGATGTATTACGTAATAGGAAATTTAAAAAAAATCTTGCAAACTGTACGACGTGACATATCAAAAGAAAGTAACAGGTCAATTGAAAAGTCCCCGGCCTAAAATAGTAAAACACATTTTTTTTTGCAAAATTCGTTTTTTTTATTCAACATAATTCCCTTCAAGGGTGATACACTGATTATAGCAATCCTCCAACTTTTTGATACCATTTTTGTAGTACTATTTGTCCTTTGCTTCAAAATAGGCCTCAGTTTCGGCGATCACCTCTTCATTCGACGAAAATTTTTTCCCAACGAGCATTCTTTTGAGATCTGAGAACAGGAAGTAGTCGCTGGGGGCCAGATCTGGAGAATACGGTGGATGCGGAAGCAATTCGAAGCCCAATTCATGAATTTTTGCCATCGTTTTCACTGACTTGTGAGACGGT